TTTTGGGATTTTCGCTAAGGGTCTATTGGCAGTGGCAAGCAGTTCATCGACACTCGACAGATTGTTTTACAAACAGCTATACTTAGCCTCACATTTGTTTTGGTAACAAGTCACCCCAGATTGTCGCCACAAATTTCTTGTAGGGTGGGCCACGTGGGTTAACGTTATTGTAATGAGCCGTCATAGAATGTTGCCGCGAAGCTGCCTGGACGGGTCTGCCGGCTAGTGATAACACACACGCAAAAATGTCCATGCAGCGTGCAATTCGCATAACGAGTGTCGGTGATATGTTAGTGTCGACAAAACGTGTATCTACGAACGGGACAATAATTTCGGGGAAATTATTGTCCCGTCTGCCGGGAGAATAGACAGTGCTTGATTCTATGGATAATCTTGAACAGTACCCGTAGAGCAGCGGTCACTCGTTTCCAACAAGTAGGTTGCAGTGCACTTACCGCACACTTAGAGGACTTGAAAGATGTATTCCGAGATATATGTTGACGCAGGCACTGCAGAACCACCGCACAAAAACGGGAAGAAAGGGGTCTGTTAACATTCATTTAGCACGATGTGGCAGAAGCAGTCATTTGCCGAACCCACACTAAACGCGTCACAAGAATTTCTTGGGCTTCTTTGAAAAAATCGCGTGTTGCCGATATACGCAGAGGACTTTTTAAACACTGGTAGCTTTGGATACGTTGTCGGATATACGTTGTTGCAAACGAAATCTACGGCCGCCGCGTAAGTCGCAGCATAGTACACAAGAATCCAGGCCAGGAAGCAGACACTCCGGAATTGGAAAAAGCTACTAGGTCATCCGTGAAATCTTTACCGCGTGAGCACGCTCCTGCCGTTACCCGCGCCCAGAGAGCGGAGTCAAGTGATAAAAATCCTCCGGTTAACTGGTCTAGCAAGTGTGCACCTTGTTCCACGCTTTCGGCTTAGGAAGAGAGGGAAAACGAGAAAAGGGGCAGTAAAGTAACAGCTCCTTCAAAGTCGAAAGGGGGGAGCGCTCACAAAGGCTTAGCTTCAGGGGCATCTCAACAATGATCACAACGAGAGGATTTGTCACTTACATCCTCTTGGAAGTTCGACCAAAAGTTTATAGTGCTGTGGATGTTATCCGTGGTCGTCGCCTTCAGGCAGGTGCCGTGCTCTGCCTTATCTCTAACTTGGAGACTGTAATCACGGGATACTACCCGGATACACGGTTCGCCTAAAACAAGCATAGCGTCTACTTTGCTGTCAATACCGAGTGAACAGGACAGCTCCATACTTCCAAAAAAACTGCGGAGCCCAAAAATGACCCCAAAAACGGAAAACTTGAAGATCCTATCAGTTGCGCCGTATAACCCACATTATAATATAAAATTAAGAATTCACTAGGACTACGTTGACTTACTGAGTCCGTTCTGCTAAAATTGGAGGGTGGGACTCTCGAGCAGCGTTAGGTTGTTGCAGATGATGCAGGACGCGGCTTTATTGTTGAGAATCTTTTGGCATGCGAACGCGAAAAAGTTCTCGTGTCAGGCGTTCCCTACTCAGCAGCGCCTGTCAGCAACGGCCCTCGCAGCATCGCAACCTTTTTGGCGCCTGTTGGCAGCCCACGAGCGCCGGCCGCTCATTGTTGCGACTTGTATACGAGTATTTTGCTGACTCTAGCACACCGAGCATCACCGGCGTCATTCACCACGATAGCGCCAATAGCGTCACGGCGCTGCCCGCCACCCACCAACAACCACGTTGCTAATAACAAAAGCAGCGTTCTGCACATCTAGGTAGCCATGTTTATTTTCTTTTTATTTTACGTGTAGTTCAATTTCGAACGTTTTCGTTGCAGTTTTAACGGAACCTATTAGCTTTCTTTGACGCAGGAAATAATTTTCCTAACACCTATTTAAAACATTGCTGAGACTGGCTTGAGTTTAATCAATATAAAAGAGATGTCATGTTTAGGCTCCTTCAATACACCGAGCCCGAAAGATCCAACCTTATCCAATCCAAGCGCAAGCTGATCGAGGCGCGTGGCTAGCGTGGTGGTTTACTAAGCTGGGTGCATTGATACACCTAGAGGTTTTTAAGGTAGAGGAGGGTGCTTATGGTCAGTGTACAAATACACTGGCTGGGTAACGGAGGGTGCGTCTTTCACGAAAGTGGAGCATGTGCGCCGTATGCACCCGACTACAACTTTCTTTTCTTAGAGTGCAGTTGGAAAGTAAATATGTCGAGCACTAACGGGAAAATCGCAGATGTCGTATTCGCGCTAAGAGTGTCACGCAGCTACAGAGCGATATTGTTAGCGCGAAGATGACATCGGCGCTGGTTTCATATATTATTTCCAAAGAAGAACGATAAGCACCAAATTTTTCGGCTTCTGGTAATCTTCCAAATAAACAAATCACACGAGAGTGGTAGTTAAGACAATAACTTTTCAAATCTAAAAAAAAAAAAGAAAAACGGAATAAAACGGTGATCGTTTCCTTGCGCTTACAGTGTCCGCGCGATGCACGCACTGCAATCCTGCCAACCACTCGCTCATGATGGTTCTACCTCTGCCCGTCGTCATACCAAAGTTTCGTCGGCGCGATAAACGTTCAGATTATGGGTGTCCCTGCGGCCAACCTGAAAATCAACAATTCTGACCAGACACTTGTCGGCCGTGTTTATGTCTTCGGCGGCCAAGCTGAAAATCAGAACTGCTGGCCGGACATTTGGCGACCGCGTTTATGTTTCTGGCGGCCAAGCTGAAAATCAGCACTTCTGGACAATCTTTTGCCAGCCGTGTTTATGTCCTCGGTGGCCAAGCTGAAAATCAGTACTTCTGACCAAACACTTGCCGGCCGTGTTTATGTTCCGGTGGCCAAGCTGAACATCAGCACTGCTGGCCCAACACTTGCCGACCGCCATTATATCTCTTGCGGCCAAGCTTAAAATCAGTACTTCTGGCCAGGCACTTGCCGGCAGTGTTTATGTCTCCGGCGGCCAAGCTAAAAACAGCTAGTTTGAGGCCGGACTCTTGCCGGCCTTATTTATGTCTCCGGTGGCCAAGCTGTCCAGATACTGGCCAACCGTCGGCCGATCGCAGGTGACGTTTTGGTGCTGTTTGGGAGTGCTCTGCAAGTTTGGACTGGGAGACGGAATAACAGGCGACCTTCGCTGCCGCTGAAGCTCAATCAACTGAAAAAATTTGATCAAACAACGTGTGCGACGTGCTCAAAAAATGAAAGCGAAAGAACATGAGTCGGGAGTGCTGAAGCTTTCTCCCGTCTGCCTGGAGAAGGAAAAAAACGTATCGTTCCTCCCTTCTTCTCATGTCCGCTTGGGGGCGCGTCAGTGGAAGGAAGGAAAATGCGCCGTTGCTAGATTTTTCCTCCATTTTTTCTTACAATGTACATTTTAAAATAGACAGAAGGCATCTTATGAACGCGTACATAACTTCAAACGCCATAAGCATCGCTTCTTACTCCGACAACCAAGTCTTGTAAGAACTAGTTCGCGCTGCGTAGGAACAATGCGTAAAACGTACTTTTTTCTTCAGGTGAAAAAGAGTATAAGCGGTATTCAAACGCGCAAAAATAAAGAGGCGGTGCAACGATCGCTGCACCTTCCCTAAATACAGAAAAGAATCAATCATTGACGACAGTAACTTGCGAAAGATGCATTAATTTTTCTCTCCCCCCGCCCCCCCCCCCCCCCCCCCCCCCCCCCCGGTGGCAGAAGTAAAAATATGGAGAAAAATAAGCAGCGTCAACTCTGTCAATTTCAGCCAGAACATGGCGTTATCTAACGTGGTGCCAATTGCATGCCGCATGTTATTTCGCCAATGTATGACGCAAATGTCTGGATTTAGATGTGCAGGCAATCGTACATCGTTATATCCGATAAATGAACTAACTGGAACTATCTTGCAATCACCTGCCCCGTAAGTAAAAAAAAAAATGTGAATACAACCCTGTGAAAAGCGAGGTTGGTTTGTCGTCTCCGGGAAGGAGTAGACACAGTTGCAGTAGCTTTTCGCAAAATAGAGTTCGCACTGATTTAGGAGTGTAGCAACTATGTAGAGAAGTCTAGATATAAAAAAAACACGAAAATGTTCTCATTAGCCATGAAACAGCAACCACGTGATATGTGCTTTTCAACGAAGATCAAATTCGCACGAATTCATTACCTGATGGCCTTGGATATGAAGACCGCAGATGTTTCTTCGGGTTTATTTGAAACCTTAATAAATGTTTGTTATATTTACGTGTAGGTGCTCGCTACTCGGGAAGCGACTAATGGGTGCAAAAATGGCTTAAATGCACCACCAAAAACCCGATGTGGCTGCGTGGTTTTCGCAAAAGTTGTTTATTGTTATTTATAAAAAGCAAAAGCAAACCAACTCACTTCGACGTGACGGCGCTTTCCTGGCCAGCTAAAGTTTAACACATTCGAATTGGAACACGTAAGAAAAATCCCTCTGGGTTTAATAAATTTCTTACCGCGGAGTAAGGAAGTTCTTACTTTTGCGTGGCGTTTCAAAAAATCCAAGCAAGGATTTTCTGAACTCGGTACTGTACATTCAGGATTATTGTTTTTTTCTGCTGACGCAATAGAAGCTGCGTTTGAGGGTAGTACTCCCAACAGACGGCTTTGGCTGTTGAAGCAACCGGACAAAGATACGTAAGCTGATTATTTACTGAAATAAATCAACAGAGCACAAGAGTCCGAACACGTGCAAGAACAAAGACATGCCTACACTTTTTTTTTAATAATCACATTGACATATGCACCACAAAAAAAAAAGAAAGCATTGGTATCTCTCAAAAGGATCTCCTGAAAATTAAGCAATAATGTGCTACTCTTTTTTACGAATGAAAAACCGGAGTGAAGAAAAAAGGAGTCATTTATTTATTATTCCCACAACCAAAACCACCGGGATGTCGTTTTTTCCAAAATAGCCTTTAGAGTGCTTGACAGGTGGTACTGCCGGATCTGAAGATCAAAACTTGATATGTGAGTCAATTGGAAGGCTTAGTTCCTGGCTGCAAAGAAAGAGTTCGCCAATGCGTTATTTATTTTTGTCAGATCAAAAACAAGTCTAGAGTACAATAAATGAAGCCAAAAACCGACATTAAAGAGGTAATGCGTTGATTCAAAAATATGTTTTGCCCTATATTGCCTAGCATGCAAAATGTACTGCTCTTTGATCCCCACAAACACACCTATGGTGTCTAAAACTGCCTCTATACCTCATTCAGTGACCTGAGCAGTTCATTTAGTTTCATTCCCAGTATGTTTTATGTCTAGGGCTTGAGGGGTTACACACATTTTCCTCCCTCCAAATGGGAACATTACATTTTATAAAACACAAAGAATGTCACAAATACATCGAAAGAAATCTCAACAGTTTTTGTGTCCGCGCGCAATTAAGCGACTGGATATGACACTGTGTTGACGACTTTTCATGTCAATAGCACAGAGCTATTCGCTCTTTCTCGCGTGAGTTAAAACGTGGTAGCGCAAGTGTGCAAATAACCCCTAAATTCCAGGCTTGGATGTAATCCGTCGCAAGTAACGGGATTACTTATAATTTTGACATTAATGCATTACTTATAGATTGTAATTTGTAATGTAAACAAATTACTTTTTCAGTAACGAATTACTGAAATTACTCGTTAGAATTCCATCCGTCAGTCAAAGGGAGATATAGAGTTGAAGAAGGGCGATGTAATAGCATTCGCGCTCTAAGCATGGTAGTACAAGACGGGAGTTCTCTGTCGACGAGAGCGTTGTCGAGGGAAAAGAAAGGAATTCATGGAAGGCACGACAGACCGGACTCTCTCTGGACTCGTTCGTACGGTCAGCCAGGCTGGGAGGACTCGACTGTATGGAGGCAACAGCTTCGAGTTCTTGTAAAACGAACGGACTGCTTCGAACTCACAAAAGAGCAGAAAGCTAACAGCCAACAAAACCGTCGCGTGTGGTTCTTGAAGAGTAGGATCGTAGACACCATGACCGTGGCACATATGTTCCCTCCCTCTTCCCCCCTCTTCTCCCCTCCTCTTTCCGTCCCCACCCCTCTGCGCTTCCACCCCCAAAACCGATCACTGATGTTGATTTTTTTTTTTCTTTCTCTTCTCGTTGTCACACCAAGCGTCGTTCTCTTGTCGAAGGTTTTTGCTTATACGCGCCCACTTCTGAAACAGGAAAAGCTTAATGAGACCTCGCCCCAGCTCATCCTTGACAGCACTGTAAAAGCTAAATACCCGCTGGACAAGCCGGCTATACGGCTTCTGTCGCTTGACTTCACACGAGCGAATGTGCAAGGCAGAAACATGAGGGGTGTGATGGCAGACGGTCATTTGAACTGAAAAAAAAATATGGCATCAACTCTACTGTCTGTTTGAACAGTAACGTTCGACAGCAAGCAATAGGCTGGCTTGGAAGCACAACCAAAACAGCTTTTGGCTTCGATGCTGAGTTCACAATCTTCGAAACAAGAAAGCTGGGTTTCCGTCAACGGTTTGTGTCTGCGGGAAATTGGATCGAAATTTTAGGGAAAGGAAACACAGCCCGAGGTTTCTGAGAATAAACAGTGGCTAACTTGGATACTTGAGTTGGGACAGGGTCAGGCGGCTGTAAACACGTAAATGAAATGGAAGCTTACTGGTCCCTGACAACTTTGTTTATTTTTTTTTTCTAAACGGCAAAACTAGTTCAGCTGAAAAATTGTGCAGTTATATATTGTGTAAGGTTCTGCCTCTGATAAGTTTGGTGATCAAGAAAGAAGATCAAGTTCGTCTTTTGGTCAGAAAACAACTTCCATCAAGCAGGATCGAGTCTTCGAAATGTACTCAAACGCACGTACCGCATCTTCATCTCACAGCCACGCGGCTTTAGTGGTTAACCCAACCCCTATTCAGGCAACATGCAGCACACATAGGAAAACCATATCTTCAGTGGAATCGTGTTTTGAAGTTCGTCGATGCCAAACTCAGATTAATTCGAATGGTGTGCGTGCGTCCAACGCACATGTGCATTCGTCACATGTTAATGAGATTTACTTCTGTCTCGGTTGGACAGAGCAAGACTTATTTATCTCGAACACCTAAGTCCTTTAAAAAAGTATTGATTTATCCTCCGAACTTTATTAACCCAAAATAATGGGTAGATAGTGCTGAATGTGTTTTATTTTTGATGGGACTCAAATTTCCCCCTCAAGCACACCGTAGATATTGCATTTATTTTGCGTGTTTCTTTGGAGAAATGTAAAAGTAATCACGTGAAGTAACCGAGTGATTCATCAATTACTTTTTACGAGGAGTAATTTGTGACGGTAACTTCTTACTTTTTAGACAAAGTAAGTCTAATTATAATTAATTACTTTTTTGGAGTAACGGGCACACGTCTGCTCCTAACCACATCCGGTTCTTTACTAGACGGCGGATTCCGCAGTCTTGGGGAAATTATATTTACACGCTGGCTTCTGGAAATGGTCATTTATAGAACTGTCAGACTTAATTCACTCTCATTGTAAAATAATGTGGTGAGTAAAAAACTATAAAAAATACGCGGCAGGATGTGCACAGGGGCTATCCAATAGATGGCGGCACTGAGTTTCTTGCCAAAGTAAAAGAAAAAGGCGAATAGGCAATACTCACTGGCGGTCAAAGCTGTGCGCGCGACTACTGAGCGCGTGCTGATGGCGAGGTGCCACAGTTCTTTTGCGACGTTCATTTCACATCATCAATCATACCCATCTTAGCAGCTTATAAATGTGAGCTCGTTCTGAGCATGCGCACGACTCTTACACATACTTAGACAAAGCTCGATGCTCTAACTATGTGTAATGCGTTAAGGGATAGACGTTATTAATACAAAAATACTCCAAAAGTCGGGAGACGTAAAAATTAAAATAGGAGCACCAACTTGACACAACTGAAAAACACACACACACACACACATTTCATTAAACGTTTCGCCTCCCATATGGGAGGAATCTTCAGTATTCCCAAAGCAGATTCAAGGATCAACTTTAAGCCAACGCTTGATAAATCCTGATAAATAGCGTTGGCTTGAGGTTGCACCTTGCATTTGTCTTGTAAATACTGAAGATGCCTCCCGCATGGGAGGCGAAACGTCTAAAGAAATTGTTTTTTTTTCTTCTGTTGCGCCAAGTCGGGGCTATTATTTTAATTAGGATGGGTTTTAACATAAAAGATTTTTAAGTGAGTTACAGCATACTGTTATTCTTTGTACACCTTAAACTGAAACATGTATAAATATTATATTGTATAAATTGTATTTGGTATAAATACTGCGAGGAAGGTGAAGACAACGGCGGGGCAGTGGCGCGCACGACAATCTCTCACCAGGGTCCACGTGCCGGCTCGGCCTCGATAAATTATTATATCTTGCCATCGCTTGTCCCGTCGTCTATGCTACCGGCAGCATCATCCTAAGAGTAATTTCTGCAAATACTAAAACTTGGATATTTCAGTTATAATTGTAATCAAATACTTTTTGATCACTCTTCGCGATGTGAATCTCCTATGAAGGGAACACATCTTGCCACAGTTTTCGCATTTTAAAGATAAAAAAAGAGAGAAATGCGACGGCCGGGATGAAATATTTATTTTGTGTTGGGTTATTTTACTCTTACGCTGGGAAGAGTGTTCCATTACCAATTTAATGTTCAAAATTCTTTTTGGCTTCTTAAATGGAAGCAGATATTTTGCTGCACTTTTCCAATCAAGCTAAAAGTAAACGCGGCACACACACACACACATGCACACACACACACACACACACACACACACACATATATATATATATATATATATATATATATATATATATATATATATCAAAAATGCTTGTTTATTTCGATGACGTAGCTGCTTATGTTATGGAAAAATATTTGCAGCAGGTATATATATTTTAAACAACTGATCGTCGTAATGTATTGACCTTATTTTTTATATTTGCACTGTTCATTTTGTCCACTCAAAACAATTGTAGGTTTTACCTCTAAATCCACGAGAATTAAATGTAGTTGGAGTAGTACTTGAATATAATCAAATACCCCTCATTGTACTTGTCTCGTTGTTACATACTTCTCTTTGAAGACATTAATTGAACTTCTTTCATAATACCATTTTTTCACTTGATTCGCATTTCTACTTCAATACATCAAATACAATTTCTGTGGTATCTGATGTATTGGAGTATGAATTCAAGTCGTCTGTTTTAGAAGTTTCACTACTATCTTTACCTCCTTGCATGATGTGTCTTTGAGGGGCTTGAAGCCTCCCCCCGGGCCTCCGGCGAGAGGTGTCTTCTTGACTCGGGCGTACGACACTCGTTTTAAACCAGAGGGGGAAGACAGTGGCTCATTCGTGTCGCATAAAAATTGACACTCGTTGCGGCTATCAAGAGATACAAAAAACAAGTTTATAAATATTAATGGGACATGTTGGAACATTTGAAGATTGCACTCAATTTTAAAGATATTTCAATCACCTTAGAACAGTCTTGAGGTCACTTTGCTCAACTAAAAAATGCCCATCAAATATTTTTTTTTTTATTTTATTTTTTTCTGCGAAAATAGTCTACGTACCTCCGAACGCTCAGTCACCGGCCAAGCGAAGCACTATACTCCGTTTCAGCTTACTACCGTACACAGGGAAAGCTAGGAGCCATCCCAACCAATCCACTCTAGGAACTAGCAGGTGACTATGCTTCTCATACTGCACTACGCAACCTCTCCAAGATCACGTGACACTTACACAACATTGGACTGTCTCCGATGGCTCGCAGCATACGCGGCGGTCGGTCGCAACGTGAAACAGAGTACAGCTGTCCGAACTAGATTTCAAGATTTCAGAGCCTGCCGTTATTTGACTCAAGATTTCGATTCTCGAAAATTCTCAACAGTAAAATGGCAGGCGACGAGGCCCAAGATTGCACGGTTATGAATGGCGTCAACTACCGGAAATGGGTCCTATTTTACCGCTGTACATCGATGTGTAAGGTCATTCCTCCTCTTTTAAACTGCAGGTTTTTACATATAACAAAGCATCCTAAAAAAATACCAAAAAAAACGTAAAGTCACGGAAAATTATTTTGGTGTGAATTCTAGCCTATTCTACGCAAGTCTGATTATGAAACTCATTTGCCTCCAATACGTGATTAGAGGGAAGTGAAAGAGGATCTTAAAAAAAAAAAGAAAAACGAGTTAGTCGTGAAATATAGAGTATTCTGTTTCCGTGAATCAGAATACCACGTTCGTTTTCCTCGAAGATGTAACTAAACCCGAGAAAACACGAAAAACCTCCGACCAGTCGTTACGTCATACTAGGATCTTTCGGCCGCCAAACGCGTGTCGCTCGTGTGGGCAGCAAGTGCAAATGCAAACTTGCCAGTTATATTCTCCCGCATTGATACCAGTCGTGGCGTCTTTTTTAACCTTTTCTGCAAATAACGAGAGTGCGCGTGCCTAGCTTTTGGTAGACGCTCAAGTTGCGCGATAGCGGATATTCCGAAAACTTCTAGCATGACGTCAAACTCCGGGAAGGAGGGGTCTTTGGCTGTACTTTGAAAATGATTTTCTGCAGGCTCCGTGCACAACATTGAAAAATTATCTCGATATTCGTCATCCGCCAGATGAAGACCATGCAGTGTTTTTCCTGAAATACAGATCCACTTGAGTTTCCATTGAAGCACGAGAAAAACCTATAAATCACCCTTGGTATGATCTCAACTCTATGCACGTTTCCATTGTCTACAAAAATCAGAGTTCACACGTGCTAAATCAGTACGCGTGCATAAAACACAAGAACAAGCATGAACGCGTCGTCATACACTTTTATGGAAAGGTGTAGATTCGGAGTCAACTATTTTATAAAACCTTTGTAAAAGTCAGCGTAGCTTTCCCAGTCTTCGAACTCTCTCAGAGTGAGCGAGCGCATCCGAACGAGATGCAACACGAAGTCACGCTCTCAGTAGTGCGGGGCTGCAGCACTGAGGAGGCTATGCTAGGCTTGACAGTTTAGCACAAAATAGTTGCCACCGAGTATGCATGCTTTCACTGTTTACAAAAATCACAGTCCACACGCGATGAATCACGGTCAAGCCAGCACTCGCTCGCAATTGACTAACCGAAGTGATGACGCCACAGCATGGCACTCCGTTCCAAACAAACTTTTGCGAGGGCCGTTCTTATGGCCAAATGCACGGGGACTTGACGTGGGCTGACAGATTGTCTGATAAAGAAGTAAATATTTTTTTTTGTAAGCATAGTGCATTTTGATTATCTAATCATGCCTAGTTTGCCTATCGTATCAGTACCATGAAGCGATGACAAAGGCCGTAATAAAGCTTCACAACCGGTTTCGCCTTGCAAGCGGACGACACGACGGCTTCGTGGGTTCAGTGGATCTTTCGGAGGGAGTGCGCGACTGCGTTGAGTGAGGTTGGTGACAATCGACAAAACTTCTTTTGTCGGGGTCAACGTCTGCGGGATTTCGGAAGCAAAGAGTGTCCGTACATAGCTTTAATCGACACTCGAGCTGAGCGCGCGCGCGAACGTGTTCCGGTGGCGCTTGCTTCCGCAATATTTGAGAAGGTGAAAACACTGAAGCCGAATTACGCATGACGACGACGCGAAATGTATCAAGGTCGACGTCAGGCCTCACATATTTCAAGGATTTCTGGCAGCACAGTTACTTCAGGCAGCACAGTTGCTTCAAGAGTAGAATCTTGAATGCAGGAAAAAATATTAGGTAAATGAAAACTTCGCCAGAAAACAACTTAAAACCTTAAACTTTTACTTTATTTTCAAACCGTTTCGTGGGAAATACTCGGCTTTTTCTCGCTGTCATTTTAACAGACCTCCATGCGTGTGATGATTTTCGTCCAACTGTATCGCATCGTACGCAAATAAAATTTGTTCTGGTAAACCTGGTGAGTTTTCTTAGGCTTACCATGTTCAACCTACTTACAAAATCAAAATTGGATGATTGTGCAGACGAATCAGATTGTTGCAGACATCACTTTTGAGTCATTCCGTGCGAAGGAGGTATCTCGAGGCGTCTCGATGACCGGATGTGGACGTCCCAAATTGTTCAGAAACAGCCAATTCTCGGCAAAGTTCTGTCGTGGTAAGTGTGAGGTCTAGGCTCCTTCTATCTATTATTTTTATACGTTTAAAGTCTATGTCGGATTGTTGACCGATCGTTTTTTCGGAGCAAATGCAGTCCCATGTATTTGTCCCTCAAAACGCCCCTAGTAAGTGTTTTTTTGGAGCGATGACGTCATACTTACGGGTGCGTGCGTAAGACACGTGCGTAAGACACAAACACAGCAATGAAGGCGCCCTTATACGCAGCTGCCGCTCGTCTGAACGAGCATGTGCAGCTGCAGGGACGCCAATTTTACCTTCAAGTGCACCTGCTCCAATGAAGTGCGTGCGTATGTTTCATAAGCATTGAAGACACATGAGCGCCTCGTAACCCTGACCACACATAGACAATGTCGCAAAACACTTAAATCTATCGGAGACCGGTAGACTTCGGCTATAACAACTTCATAGACGAACGATCTACCTTAACGAACAGTCCAGCTAACGGCGGCAGCAAATAGGCAAACCGCAAAGTCTGCTGTCGACCGCTCGGGAAGTGCTTGCGGAGGGTGCAAAGATGCAGGTATCTCCTGGGCTGCGGGGGGGGGGGGGGGGGGGGGGGGGGCGTTTGTTTCTACAAGAGCTAGCCCAAGTAATGAGTGGTTGGGCTATCGGGCCCAGGCGGACGGACGCACAAGATTTCGTAGTTGGCCGTCTTGTAAGTACGGTCGCAATAAAAAAAAAATAAAAAATAAACGCACCAGTTTTTTTGCCATCCGGGGGTGGTTGATATCATTCTGCAGGAAGAAGCTATGCGACGCATCGAGAGGTTGAGAACCCTTACTCCTGAAATCATCACTGTGGTGTATCTGAAAAGCAGTTTTAAAAACAATTATAACCCATATCACTGTTACAAATCAATGGGTGTTCGCTGGGGTCGTTCGTTAAGATACAGTTCGTTTTATTTTTTTATTTTTGTTTTACAGCAGATATTAATCGGTGGTGAAAAAAAGTGTGATTGCGCAGCAAAAATGGAAAGCCGCGAGAAGAAATGGCTTTTCAGAAAATCCTTGACAGCATTCTCGTGTAGTTTAGTGGATTGTGTTTGGTTTTGTGGCAGGTGTTTATGACTTTCACGTACTCTGCGAACGAAAATAAGAAAAGGGACAGGATGCTTGCAGCTGAAACCCTCCGACCGAAATCGTTACATGAGACAAGTGGGTCTAGTCAATACATGGGGTCCTGCGGATATCTTGTGAACCATTGACGGATACCCCGCACCCATCCGCGGACTCGGGAGAAGGGGAAATATCCGTGACGCGGTGCGCATGACCGCAAAAGTTAATGACGTTTAATAATCTCTGCAAAGGACTTTTGAATAAGATAACGGTTTGTTCTAGAACTTTCGATTTTCCTTCAAGACGACTCGCGCTACATTTGGAAGAAGAATTTGAGTTATTCCATTTGCCTGAAGATTAAATTCGGCATCGAATAAAGCCCATATTAGACTCAGAGAGAAACTTACAGGAACAGGATGACCGAATATCCTGTCTTTCTTTTTCTTGAGTCTTCGAGTGTTGACAATACGGAAGAAAGTGCGGTTGGTGTCTCTCAGCATAAGCTCAGCAGCATTCTTTTATAAGCGCTTGAAAAATGATTGCAAATAAACCATGATGAAATTGACATGTTATTATCCGGCGCATGCGCATGAACGAGACATTTGTGCCGGTGAGTGAATCGTACTTTTTCGCTTTTATTTTTATCGGCTGGATAATAACGTAATTATAAAATAAGTTTGTTCCTAGAAATGAGGGATGCAGACATTCATTTCCGCCTTCTAAACGATATCCGGTGATATTTTTCTAACACCTGCCAGCATGGCGGGGTTTGCAACTACGGCCTTCAAACAACGCACAATGAAAGTAGATGAATCTAAAGGTAGAAAAGATGTTCGCGAGTTAGAGATTGCAATCAAATACCTATAAATATTGTATGTTTGCTTCGATAACCAAGCGTGCACTCTTCGAATATCACAGTAAAAGGAGAATCTTATTTGGCACTAAAAAAACATGCAACATGTGCTTTCAAATATTTACTTCTTTTGTTACTGTGGCGACGGAATAAACCGTTTAACTGTTCCAGAATTATACTTCATACATTTCTTCGCAAAACATAACCTACAAGAAATAGTGGTAACCGCTTAAATACTGTAAATCGTAAACTCGAAACAAGAAGTAACGTACCAGTGGAAGTCGGGGCATGTGGGTCTGAAAAACTAAAACGTTGTTTCAGGGTACCCGTTCTCTCAAAATACACGCATCTCCAATTGCCTCATCCTTCTGCTCTTTGTTTATTTAACTTTCTGATCAAGAAGTTATTTGTAAGGGTTAGATTTTGGTCAGTGTTGTGCGGACACTCGAAGGATACTTATTGCAAGCGGTGCAGACAGCTGGACGCCTTCAGCTCACCTACTATATCCGCGTCGTGTTGCATTCACTAAGAAAGGGTATTACCGAGTTTGAAGTGTCAGCTTTCAGCTGAGGCCCATATGAAAACTTCTCACCACGCTCAAAGTATTTCGAGCCTAAACAAAATTATAAAAAAAGGCCAAGCGATCTTTTATTTGTGCTAACTTCCGCTTTGTCAGACTATCACTGCAGTGTTTTAAAGAGCATCATTCCTTTTATTGTTTTTGTTCTTGATTGGCTGTCTCTGTGCTCTGCGCGACAGTGAACTCACATACCTTTGTTTCAGAGTGTACCACATGCCATAATGCTGCTGGATGGAAGAAAATACTAAAAATAAGTAACTCTGGTTTCAAATGGAATGTGTTATACATGGACGAGTTGGTATTTTCTTCTGATCATTGGTATAATTTTCATGAATGTTGCATCTACAATTAGCAAATCGGAAAAAGACAAAAAAAAAAAACTAGACTAAAAAGAATCATGAACCGCCGCACCTAAAAGAATTTATGCTTTCGCAAACAATCAGTTAGGCGCTAAGATGTTCACAGCGGGTTCATACGCAAGCAAAAAGAAAACCTATCTAATCGCTGGGAGCTGCAGGGTTTCTGCAGGTTATTATCATCACTTTCAAAGCGCCGAAACTACAGAAGAATTATAAGATGGGGGACGAAAACCACAAAGATTTATTCAACACCCATTTCGTATATACTCGTTGTAAATTACGTAGTCACCTCTAAAATGCGTTAAACCTCTTACGCACAAAAAAAAAAAATCTAATTTGCCGATAACTACACAGATGTGTCGCTGGTACAATATATGCATTTACTCTTCTATTTGGAATGCCTTGTGTAGCTTTCCAGATACCCGATCAGAATTCTTAGCAAAAAATTCGTGCATCAGCAAATAACCGCGTTGATTTGTAGCGGCTCAGTGTTTAGCAAGGTGTCCTGACGGTGTATTCCCTGTTGTCGCTGTATTTTCGCATGCGCGATTATTTTGCATGACCATTCGCATCATAACATAGCAATTTTTGTATACTACTCCCGAGGCATATTGTGTGAACCTGTTGTGGTATTTCATATTACAAGCATCCGTGGCCCTCTTCGGAATATTGATTTTGCGGCATAGTCGCGATAGCTTATTAAGCGCGGAAAAGACAACGTGTACTTTGTTCCGATCAGGAACCTTTTTAAGGTTCTGGGTTAGTGAAAGCGCGTTCAGGATGACGACCGGCCTCGTTGAGTCCCTTTCATGCAGTTTCTTCCGTGTGCCTTTGATCATGTTTATCGGGCTGTCCACCACGTCCGCCAGGGTGCTCGGGGGGTAGCCCGCTTTCTGCAATTGCGCTACCTGCTTCGTGAAGCTCTCTTCAGCGCGATGTGCACACCACTTTCTAAGTGGTGCCTTGAGGCACACAAGGGCAATGCCTCGTTTAACTGTTTTCGAGTCGGCAGAGCTAAACGAAAGAATGCCCTTTTTCTAGCGTGGTTCATATATTTAACAGATCTGGTCTCTTATAAGGTTTAGCCAATGGCTTAAAAACTGTATTTTACCGTTTACTGTTTTTTCTTCTGTGAACCCTAGGACTTCGCCGCAAAACCTAAACACGTCCAGCACGTCTATGACCTCAGTACTTGGCGCGCCAGCCGTTTTATTAAGCACTGAAAAGTCATCCACATATCTGAAAATACTGAATGGGTCCACGCCATGGAGGTTTTTCAGAAATAATCTTTAGCACTTACTGTACGTACTTGGTATGTTATATTGTGTTAACTATAGAGCCGGCTAGATTTCGGGGGGAAAGGGAAAGGTAAAATTCCACCTCCCCTTTCCTCTCTTTCCGGTCTGCGCAAACGGAGTTTTGTTCTTGGTTGCTCAAATGTTCACTATGCTACCTTTTCAATTTAGTTCGGCTAGTTTGTCGGCAAACTACTGTGATCAATTTTTCTGCGCGTCGCTAAGAAACGACTTCCGCTCCCAAGAGGTGAACCTCGGCCCTTTGCGTGGGAGCCACGCGCGATAGCCATTCGTCTACAGACGCTTTCTTTTTATTGCAAGCGCAAACAACACATGTCGCAACTTCAGGTTAAAAGCGCGCTGCAAGACTTTTGCAGACACCTTAAAAAACTCGCATTTCCAAGAGCACTTTACAAATGTCTAACCACTCGCGCTTCGGTTCGTGAGTAGAAAAAACACTTCTCACTTGCTTGATAACGTTAAAAAAAAAAGAATATAACTTCTTTGGCTTTAAGATCCGCGTGCCGTACTGCCATGCGCGACCACCATTTGCTGCAGAGCTCCAAAAAGGAAAAAGGAAACTACCAACGCACAGTCGCCATGTTCGACGTTCAGATTCTTTATTCCCATTGGGCTAATGCAAAAATCTTTTTTCAATGTGTGCTAGAGAACAGAACGTCCCCCCCCCCCCCCCCCCCCCCGAAAAAAAAAAAAAAAAGGTGTCCCATCAGAGAATAAGCACGAGCGCAGTGGTCTCGGGTTGTTTACACAACGGACATATCGACAACAAGATGTCCGCGCGCTGTTCTCAGAGCCAAGATTTAACTGGCAAGGCATCGCTGCGCAGCTTGAAAGTGAGCCTTAACAGACGGAGGTACTACAGACATCCGCTTCATTCGCTTGAGTACTGTACATTCTTGCTCCCGCTGCATACGACGCTTCAGGACAGCGGTATCGGAAACAAACTGGACAGTAGGCCACGTTTAAGCGCTTTCTTCGTGACAACCGAGAGGCAACCCAACGACAAACGAGCAGACAAGTGAATAGTTTTCACACCTTCTTTCTGGTAACCAAAACGTGTTGATGGTTCAACGCCGAAAGACGGCACAAGAAAGTATGGCAAATGGGGTGACAATTTGTTTGAATAAATGTGTGCACGAACAGATGTTGTTGCTCTCGCACAAAACAACAACAACAAAAGCAAGCGTAATATTAATCATCGCACCAGCAAATGCGATAAACCCCACCCATCGCCATATACACGATGAAAAAGATTATCCCTTCTTATCCGCTCCCATGACGAATTCCAAACATATGTCTCAAAACGCGGTGGAACTTTTGTATATTCTAACACGCACAATAAATTACTTGGATTACGTACCATCAGATGGCGATAAAAAATACGTTACGAACTGTCGGGCGAACGAATACGGCCAAGCCACGCCTTTTCAAGCAAGAATCACGCCAGTCCAGGGGCCCTAATCTGGACACGTGGCGAAAAAGTCCGCAAGAAATCTGGTGGCCGTGATTGGCCAACGGCGCATTTGACCTTAGCGCCGGCCAATGAGAGCCGCCTGATTTCTCGGTGACGTTTTCGCCACATGTCCAGATTCGGGCCCCAGGTCGGTCGCAACGCACGACCAAAATGTTT